ATTTTTCAAATTGTTTATGGTCGAGGGTTAGCGCGAACGCAGACCCCCACACTAAAAAATAGCGTACCCGAGTAATCCGCATTTGGGATTATCGCAGGGTTCAGCCCGACCGGAGTGCAATGGAAGGGCCTCGACCTGGGGGAACCTTTTTTTTTTTTTTTTTTTGATAAAAGTTTATTTACAAATGTACAGATAAAACCGCCAAGAGACACACCCCTATGGCAACTGTATTATATGGACATCCGGTATCCCCGGTAAGGTGCAATTATCCCTACAACCTGGATGGACATAGAAATTACTTGTTAACGAAGTATAGCAAGGTAAGTATAAGAATAATACTGACATTTCTAGGAAAACGTCAATTCGAAAATTGATCTAATGAATTCACATAGAAAAATAATGGAAAATGATTAAGATACAAATTACAGGGCGACAACAGGAGATATCAGCCCAAACTAAGATTTAATTTCAGTTCGTCCTCTTGGGTTGTACAAAAAATACCAGTAGTACTCCAGTATTCAGAGAAGATGTTGGCAGGGAGACGGGTATAATCAGACTGAATGCGTAGAATGACGTTACTGAGGAAGTGGCAGAGAAGAGAATCAGAAGTTGGTGACTTTCTGTCATATTTTTTAACACAACGAATATACCAGATAGATGATAAAGATTCTGCCACTAGAAATAAAACAAGAGACTTTAATTTTAGAGTAAGACTTACTGGGGAATGGAATCGCCAAAGAGCCGAATCAGTAGGGACTTTGTTCTCTGAGACCTGGTTTATCCAGGAATTAACCAAGGATACTAATGGTTGAACAAATGGACATTCATAAAATAGATGTGAAATAGTCTCAAAACCATCACAAAATGTACAATGTTTAGAGGACCCGACACCAAATTTGTACATTCGAAAGTTAACAGGTAAAATCTCGTGTACCATTTTAAATACAACATCTCTTGAGCGAGTATCTAAAAACTTGTTAGAAATATTGCGAAAAACAGGATCGAAATCTACAGTTGGGAAAATCTTGACAATGCGGGGTGACTTAATGACAACAGATAACAGAGTTACATAGAATTCCTTAGTTGTGACTGACTCAAAAGTGGACTTCGGAAAATCCTTTCTGTATTGTTTAAATACTTTATAAATACTCGAATAAAAGGTAGGGCACCAGCCACTATGTGGAAAATTATTATCAAAACTGTTGAAATGCTCTCGAAAGTGTAGAGAGAGCCAATACATGGTAAAGTATCTCCATTTGGCCTCTGTATTTTTAAAAACAAAATCCTGACAATGCTTCAAGTAAATAGCTTGGAGTTTAGCTTTAATGTTTACAATATCAAGTCCACCACTAGAAGGAGAGGCATAGGCTGTTGAGCGCGCAAGTGGCTCTGACTTAGAATTCCATAAAAATCTAAATAAAGTTCTCTGAAATAGTTCCAAATAATGCCTTGGCATTATGACGACAGTACCAATATACCAGAGTTTGCTGCACGCAAGGACCTTTATTACTATCGATTTTTGTGTTAAAGATAAGTTTCTCATTTTCCATAAATCTAAGGTCCTTGAGAATTTCCGAAAAACCGGCTGCCAAATATCATCAGGGGAGATATTATTACCGAATAAAATCCCACAAATTCTATGTTTTTCAACCCAACTTATACCAAAAGGATGATCTGAACGTGATTTCCATTTCCCCAGCCAAATACCCTTAGTTTTCTGCTTATTTAATTTAGCCCCTGACGCCCTGCCGTACAAATCACACCAATAGAACAATTTTGAAATAGATGAATCAGTGCAGCAAATACCAGTACTGTCGTCTGCGTAAAGGGAAATTTTCGCCGACTTAGAGGAACCCGGTAATTTAACACCAATTATTTCAGGATCTTCGCGGACCTTTTTCGCAAAGGGTTCTAAAACCAAAACGTACAATAAGGGAGATAAACTACAACCTTGCCTTACGCCACGAGTGATGGGAAAGGAGTCAGAAATAAACCCATTAACAATAACGGACGAACGGACATTTTTATATAAAAGTCTGACCCATTTAATAAAATCAGGACCAAAATTGAAAGCACGAAGCACTTTAAATAAAAAATCATAATTAACTCTATCAAAGGCTTTCTCCTGATCTAGAGAAATAAAGGCACACTTAAGGTCTTTTTGATCGACATAATCAACGATATTACGTAATAAATGACAATTTTCAAAAATAGATCTTTGCTTTATAGCACAAGTCTGGTCAATGCCAACAATTTGATCAATAACTTTACTTAGTCTGTTTGTTATCACTTTAGATAAAATTTTATAGTCAATGTTTAGAAGAGATATTGGCCTCCAGTTTTTCATATCAGAAGAATTACATGGGTCTTTACATAATAAAGAAATATAGGACATTTTCTGGGTGTCACTGAGCTCACCCCTCTGAAAAATTTCATTATATAATGAGACGAGCTGATCTCCTAACAAATTAAAGAAAGTAAAATAAAACTCTTTAGTGAGACCATCACTACCAGGGGATTTATTATTATGCATGTGCTTAAGAGCGACTAAAATTTCCTCCTTCCCAATAGGACCTTCACATATTGACATATCAAGTTTGTTCAGTTTGGGAAGATTCTCACAAAAGGAATCAGACAACTCAAAATCGATGGCTTCCTCTGTAAAAAGGTTTATATAAAAATCACGAAAGGCAGCTAAAATGTCACTAGAATCTGAAACAGAGGAAGAATCAGGTAGATCGATCTTCTCAATAAACTTCTTTCTACCCTTGTCACCTTCCATTTTGAAAAAATATCGTGAAGGTTTTTCCGAAAAATCTAAAAAATTAGCTCTAGATCTAATCATAGACCCCTTAAAATTATCAGAGTGAAAATCTAATAACTGTTTCTTAATAAACTGAATCTGATCAATAAAGTCCCCAGGTGACTGCCTTTCTAACCTAGACAACCTATTGTATTTATCTTGTAAGGATTTGACAACGGATCGTTTGACTCTAGCCTTACGTTTACAATACCCAATGATAAAAAACTTAATCACCGACTTACAGTCATCCCAATTTTCCAAGAAACAGGCTCGTCTTTGGTTAAGTCAAGCCAAAAAGTTTTAAAAGCAATCTGAAAACTTCTGTCATTTAAAATACTATTGTTCAGTTTCCAATATGATGGACCAAACTTAGATTCTGAAAACAATTTGATTTTCAAACAGACAAAATCATGGTCCGAACTACCAGACGGAAAAACCTTGTTTTCTAGTAAATACTCTTTTAAAATGCAAGAAATATAAAAACGGTCTAAACGGCAAGATATACCATTACCATGCCACGTAGTGGAAACGACATTAGGGAAAAGTGATCGAAATGTTTCAAACAACTTAAAATCATGACAAATATTTTGTAATAATTTACTACCAGGTAGACCACGTTTTGGATTACCGCCAATTTTATCGAGAGAAATACATTCAATACAATTAAAGTCACCAGCGAAAACGACTGGCCTTCTACAGGAAAAATGATGTAAAATATCCCCAAAAAACAAACACCGCTCCTCATCAACATTAGGAGCGTACACATTTATAATTCTGAACTCACTATTAAAATATTTAAAATCAACGCACATGACCCTACCATCTCTGTCCATATGAAATTTCTGTAAGTCAACATTAATAAAAAACAATACAGCCGTACCTCTACTGTTAAAAGTACCAAAATTCCAGATTGCCTTACACTTTAAAAAACGCTCAATCCTAACACCAACAGACAGATTAGAGACGTGGGTTTCCTGTAGAAGTACTATATGAACATTATGGTTGTGAACAAAATCACTAAGTTCATACTGCTTAGTCTTGGATAAGAAACCATTACAATTCCATGTAATTATATTTAATGTGTTATTTGAATTAATCATTTCCATTTTTATTATTTTTCAGGAAAAAAAAACGGGGGAGCCGACAAAATAAAAGGAAACAAAAGAAGAACGATAGCTAAAGGTAAGTAAGCGGATGGTAACGCGCAATATTTTTGGAAAAAAAACCGTCCATGTAAACAAACGATTCCAACAATAGTTATGAAACACAGGCGGCCACTGAAGCGGAACACAGGTGAGATACAATGTATAAAGGAGAGACACTCAGTGCACGCGCCCCGGAGCCGTGCGCGCTCACGAGCAGTCAGCTTAACAACAAATAACTTATGATTAGCGAATACTACTATCACAAATAGAAATTGTAAAAGAAAACGGATAGAAATAAACGATAATGTAAAACTAAAATGCGGAACATTGCAAGTATGGCGCACACAGCAAATACCAGAATATGTCTTCAGCAAAAACCAACAAGATATCATGTATAAAGCTAACAAGAATAAACAGGTACATCTTACCTGCGCAGTCAATTGTCCGGAGACACGCGTGCTAATATACAGAATAAATAAAATATGATATAGGAAATACACATTAACAGCAAACTTTATATTACAAATCAAGGTATTGTTTCTACAAAAAATTATACCATTGCTAATAAGGAGGGAATATTTGTTTATTGAAAGGGCTAGGGTAAGTAGAAGCAAAAATACTAACCTATGAGTACAAGCTAACAAGGCATGAAATCGAGAAAACACGTGAAGTTGTAAAGTAAAGAAAACATAGCACAGGTGAAAGTTTAAGTGTAGAAAAAGCTGACAATACGTAACATATTCGACCAAGGTAAATCGGTACTGTATTGTGGTATTCATACATGAAAGGGCAATAACATGCACGCTTATTACAAGCTTTAAACATGTTTCGTGGGTAGATCTATCGAGATAGAAATCATTATCTAGCCGAATAAAGAAATGAACAAAAATAGAACATAAAAAAGGAGAACAAAGAAAAATTATATTTACTGTAAACACCATATAGGTTAGAACATAGTCCAGGGATATGCTAGGGTCAATCAGGAATCGCATTGTCGCCGCCATTGTCGATTGGAATATTTAAGTCTGTTAATCAAAGACAAAACGAAACACTCACGAACCAGGGTGACCCTCGTCGATTACCAGTTCACCCTCGCTCTCTTCTGACTGGTTGTCCTCGAGATAATCCATTGTAGATTCTGGAAGCTTCTGTCCCGGGACTAAGTCACCATTGGACAGAACCATAGGGGAGAAAGCGGAATGCCTGCCCTTCTTTGAAGCCTTCTGGAATCCCTCCTCGTCAACTTCAGGACCTGACCTCTTGGTGGATTGGGCGTTGTTAACACTGCTCCCTCCGGACGAGGGGCTCGCAGTATCCTGCGTTGGCCGTTGCGGAGGTTCCGTTGACACGACCTCCTCCGGTGCTGGAGGGGAATCTGCGGCAGCACTCGGCAAGGTCATCTCCGGTACAGCAGCGGTGGACTGGGAGACTTTGGCAGCATAGGACATACGAGTTGTCTGTTCAGGTCGTCCTGGACACTGCGAACGAACGTGTCCAACTTGCTGGCAGCGAAGACAGATAGGAGGACGCCCAGGAACAATAATCAAGGCCACCTTCCCGAACATTCTACTTCTGTATGGGATCAAATCCTGATCGCCTTCCCTAATAACAAGGGTAAGGACACGGGTTCCGGTCTCCAGTCTTACTTCTCCAATGGTCGTGGTTTCTCTGGAAACATGGACTACTTTTCCATAATGTCCGTCAAAATGTTCCGCAATGGCGTCATCGGATATCCAGGATGGCAGCCATTGCACACGGATGGACAAACGACGTTGGTCACACCGTTCCGGGACTAAAGAAAAGTATGTCTCTTTCATCGGACCCTTCTCTACAACACGATCAACATGAACCTCTGACCGCAAGGTAACAAACCAAGTGTTTGGAGCCTCACACCGGAAAACAGAAACTATCTCTTCACCCGGGAGCCCTGATGCTAGTAGACACTTCACTATTTCAAACCTAGTGACGCTGTGTTTCCTGGGACCGGTGACAAACATTCTAACTGACTTCTTCAACACATCAACATCAATGAAATCCATGCTGGTATCAGAGTCGTTCATGGTATCCCCTGTACCAGGTAAGTATGAGTTGTTACTGTAAAAGAGAATATATAAACTGAATGTAAAATTTTACAGACAAGGTATTTAAAAATTACCATATGGAAAGAGAAAAATGTGTATAACTAAAATAAACTGAAATACTATCTTAAATGCTTTCATAAAAATAGTATCATTATTATATTGTATAATATGATGTAAATATTGCATTACTTTATTACATAAAAAGTATCTTATTTGACAAATTTTATCTCAGTTACATGTTTTGGAAGAGGGGAAGTAACTCTAGGGATTGTGTTGCCGCTGACAAAGCGCAGTGAGACAACATGTTAAGAAACAAAGAACATGTTGGTGTGTTCTGCTTCCTTAGATATCGATTTTATATCCGTACCATTACAACAACAACAACAACTATAATTAGAATAATAACAATAATAATAGTAACAATAAGATTTAAAACATGCGTAAGTAAATTCAGAGCTAAGAATCATTTACACCTACAAATATTAGTTTTTAGCCAAAATCAGGTAGTTTTTCAACAGCAACTAAGGTTAAGTCATTTTATAATTTGACATCAAAGTAATTGCAAAAGCATTGGTTTTCGGAATGGTCAGCATCGGAATGGTACCAGACCAACTTAAATATAGTTCAATTTGAGTCAAAAATAGACACGGCAGGATCTGCTCTATTCCATCAAAATAGTTACTTATCAATATGTCATGAATTAATTTTAAAAATGACAACATTGGTTTCGCTTATCATTTTTGTAACTTATCTTTAAAACGTCAAGATACATGTAAAGTAAGATAATATCAGATATATTGTATTATGACATCTGTATCAAAATTGTTTATACACGTGAGGGATTTAAATTGCTTTAACATATGAAATACATAATCACTCAACATTGACCTGTAGGGCTTATGTCAATGCTCAAATTGTACCACTTCCTAATTTTGTAATTTGTATTTTAATAATGTCAAAGAAAAATGTTTAGAATCTTATCAAAGTACTTTATCTGTGGTTGGTTTTGAATAGAAATCCCGTCTTTATACAGATGTCTGGAAATGATAAAAAAAAGTTAATTTGATCAAATCCCCATCTCACCGCTGAAAAGTCCATGATTCCAGACAACGTATTTATTGCTGTTAGGTCCTATTTCTACATATATAGGCATGGGTTACTTTACACTGAAGTGATTTTAAGTTAAATTAAATTCAGTTTTTTTTCATCCAATGTACAGTGGGGGAAAATACTAAATGATTTTCAATAGAATATTAACTTGTACAAATAATTCCAATAATTTTTTTATATTTCTCTAGGCAAACTAACTAAACAAGAGAAAACCTCTGAAAAGAACGAGTTCCCAACAGAACAACCAGAATTACTTACGATCATCAAACACGTGCAATGTTTTATATCAAACAAGTTATATTCTGGAAACACTTCTTTCAACAAAAATGTGTGTTTTAATTTTTTTTTCAGTTGATCATCCGGTACAACCATTGCAATTGTATTGTTCATATCTATACTGCAAGAAATAGGTATAGACAAACGTGGAATAAAAAAGGACGTCGAAAAACTGGTATTGACAACAAAATTATGTTTCACACATAAAAATTTAATTTTGTAAATGAAAATATTTCAAATATTTCCTTCTTAAATAGCCTATGCAAGCTACCCTACACATTACAAACCTTCAATCTTCTATATGTCCACTAGAGATCGAATCAAGAACAGGTCTTTAGACTTACTAACCATACACTCTACTGATTGTGCTAAAGAGAGTTCTCCCTAGCCAAGCAGTATAGCATGAATGTAGATTAAGAGTTATCTCCCTTACATATTACAGCCAAGATATTCGTTACCATTTCCACTGTATGAATAAGAATTTAACATTTAAACAAAAGTGCTACAGACAGCATATGTCTAGTACCATTTGAGTAAAATCATATAAGTCTGTTCCTTTAATTGAGGGTTTTCTGGGTAAAACCATGTTTACGAAGTCACCATACCTACCTGCATGATTCAAACCTTAGGCAATTCCCTCGGACTTCCAACACTACTCGCCCGAAACAAATTGAACGCACCCCGGAAGTGTTTCCGTACCTGCGCATGACAGACACCAGTATTCCTTCAAAGCCATACGCTTTGTACTGGCTCTGTGGGGTAGGAGGGTGGGTTCATGACGTTAGGTATGGTGACTTCGTAAACAGGGGTTTTACCCAGAAAACCCTCAGTTTACTTTAGTCCCCATACCTACCTGCATGAGTCAAACCTTAGGCAAACACAGAATTTGTAGCCTATAAAGGAGGTGGGTAGAGCCAGTCCAACTAACTTCCTATGAACAAAATATTATCTCCTAATAGGTCCGCCTGCCTTTCCTGTTCACCACTGACTGCAATATGACTGTCCTGGCAAACTGGCCTTCCGGTTTCCAAATGTCTTTCAAGTAGAAAGAGGTGAAGGTGGTTTCCTTCGCCCAATGCGCTGCCTTCACAATTTCTGAGATGGGCACCTTAGAAAAGAGTGCCCGGGACGTGGCCAGACGGCGAGTATCATGAGCCCTGGCCAGACGAACACCCTCCTCATTTGCTGACTCATACCAAAATTTCACCACCGACACAATCCATCGTGCAATGGAGTCTTTTGATGCCTCTTTTTGATTTCCGTCCTGATATGTAAGAAACAAACTTTTTTTTTTTTTTTTTTTATCGCCCTTATGTCCTGTAATCTTCTAATATACATCTTCAAAGCTCTATAAGGACACAACTTCAAATCCTCCTCCTCAGTAGCAAAATTTAAAAATTTCGGAAGGAAAAAGGGCTCCCATGGTTTTCCAAGCCGCCGATTTTTAGTCAAGAACTGAATGTTGGGTAACAGATGAACCCCTGCCTGCTCCCAACGGATATGATCTTGTTCCACTGATAATGCATGTAACTCACTTGCTCGTGCAGCAGATGCCACAACCAACAGAAATAATGTCTTTAATGTAAGCCATTTTAAGGATGCTTCCCCCATAGGCGAAAAGGGTGACCGAGTCAACCTGAGTAGTACAGTGGCAAACTCCAATTGGTTATAACTATGGTCCGCATGGACCATAGTTACAGGTCCTATTGGTACCAAATGGAATCTCCATGAGTGTGAATGACTGCTATAGCTGTTCGATATCCTCCTGAGTGTAGATATCTTAAAACCTTTACTCTGGTGTAAATACAAAAGAAAGTCCGCTATCTCAGTTACCGTTGGCAAACTGGGATCAATCTGTCGTTCCTCACACCAGCTGCTATAACATCGGATTCGCGCATTGTAGACTGCCTGTGTAGAAGGTCTCCGAGAAAGCGGGAGATCGCTTGAGCAACCTCCTGCGAAAACCCTCTTGAAGCATAGGTCTGTTTGACACTTTACATACCGTGAATCGGAACATCCCTGGATCCGGATGTACTAGCTTGCCTCTTTGCTGAGTCAGCAGCCTGTCGTTGAGTGAAAGCTCTCTTGGGTAATCCGCCAGAAGCTCTAGCAGCTGAGGGTACCAAGTTTGACGTGGCCATCTCGGTGCTACTAGAAGTATCACGCAATCCTCTCGAGATATTTTCCTGAGAACATGAGGAATCAGTATTGTTGGTGGAAATGCATAAGCGAACATTCCCTTTCATAGGGTCTAAACTACCAGGAGCTCCCTATAAGATATGAGCTGAGGGAAAAAACCCCTTCCGATTTTTGTGACACTTGAGATACCCTATCGTTATCTGACACTGAATCTAACTCATCCAAGTCCTCCTCCTTGACACTCGATTGTTGCCGTTCACCAACAAACTTATCAAAACGACTCGGCCTACTTCCCGCCGGTCGAATACGAGTCATATCCTCCCCATTTACCTGGGGTTGTACCGCTGGAAATGGTTGCGAGGAAACGTTACTGGCAAAGAAGTTTGTTGACTGGGATGAAATCAAATGTTCGATGAGTGCCCGAGTGGGGTGTCGTCCAATGAAGGATTACCTCGCACGGCATGTGAAATACATGTACAAGACTCCTACGTGGGGCCCGCACAGCCGCCCGAGTACTCCAACATTTTGCGACCTCCTATTGGGACTCATTCCACCCCCCGGGCTTCTGTTGCGGACTTTCCTCTTGATGGTCGGCCTCCTGTCGACTTTTACCATCTTGTCAAAATCCTCTTTCGCCGACCACTCGCTACAAAGAACCCCGTACGTGAAACTTGTTCTCAGACACGATGTCTAAAAACATTTTTCGTGGTCGCCGTATGTTCCATCTTTTCGACCAAAGTGCCTTGGATAAAATGACACCAAAAGAATCGTCTGTGTCATGCGCAGGGTACCGGAAGTACTTCCGGGGCGCGTTCAATTTGTTTCGGAGTAGTGATGGAAGTCCGAGGGAATTGCCTAAGGTTTGACTCATGCAGGTAGGTATGGTGCTTGAAGCAACTAATTGAATTATGAAGCATATGTCTCAGTAGAATGCCTCACACAAGATATTTTGTCAAAAAGGGTATTTTTATTAGAGGTTTAACTGATAAAACAAAAGAGAAGTCGAGATATCGATATACTGCTTGCAAGGTTGGTGTTCTTATTTTTCAAATTGTTTATGGTCGAGGGTTAGCGCGAACGCAGACCCCCACACTAAAAAATAGCGTACCCGAGTAACTGCATTTGGGATTATCGCAGGGTTCAGCCCGACCGGAGTGCAATGGAAGGGCCTCGACCTGGGGGAACCTTTTTTTTTAAGTTTCATAAAAAGTTTATTAACATATATACAGGTAAAAACGTCACGAGACAGACCCCAATGGACGCCAAGGCTACTCGATGTACAACCGGTAGCCCCGGTAAAGTCCCATTATCCTTACATCCTAAGATGGACAAGATATGTAAACCAAGTTACCTGGTTACACTATAGTTAACATAATTAATATGTTAAGAATAATGACAATTATCGGTATTAATTGACATATTTCACAGCAGGTTTCTTGATTATAACGGGAGATTGATGTTTAGGTCGTCATCCCGCAAGGTACAGAAAATATCAGTAGTACACCAATACTCAGAGAAAGTGTTTCTGGAAAAGCGAGTAAAATCAGACTTAATGCGAAGAATAACATTGCTGAGAAAGTGACAGACGAGAGAATCAGAAGAAGAGACTTTTGTCATATTTTTTAACACAACGTATATGCCAAATGGACGATAGGGATTCTGCCACTAGAAAAAGGACAAGAGACTTTACTTTTAGAGTGAGACATACTGGTGAATGAAAATGCCAAAGTGCCGAATCAGTTGGGATCTTGTTCTCTGAGATCTGGTGTATCCAAGAATTTACCAAGGATACTAACGGCTGAATAAATGAACAATCAAAGAATAAATGTGAAATTGTTTCAAAACCAGTACAAAAAGTACAAAATTTACAGGATTCAACACCATATTTATACATTCGAAAATTCACAGGTAAAATCTCGTGTACTATCTTAAAGACAACATCACGTGAGCGAGTATCTAAAAACTTGTTTGAAATATTGCGAAAAACAATTTTAAAATCAACAGTTGGAAAAATCTTCACAACTCTTGGTGGCTTAGTAATACCAGCTAATAACGTAACGTACAACTCTTTGGTTGTCCCAGACTCAAAATTAGACTTGGGAAAGTCTTTTCTATATTTCTGAAAAATTCCATAAATATAAGAATAAAATGTAGGACACCACTCACTATGTGGAATACTATTGTCAACAGGTGAAAAATATTCTCGAAAATGTAATGAGAGCCAGTACTTGGTAAAATACCTCCACTTGGCCTCGGTATGTTTGAAAACAAAATCCTGACAATGTTTTAGATAAATGGCTTGAAATTTACTTTTAATGTTAACAATACCAAGTCCACCACTAGTAGTAGAGGCATAGGCTACGGAGCGCGCAAGTGGCTCCGACTTGGAAATCCATAAAAATCTAAACAAAGTTCTCTGTAAAAGATCTAAATAATGCCTTGGCATTATGACGGTAGTACCAATATACCAAAGTTTGCTGCAAGCAAGGACCTTTATAACTATGGACTTTTGTGTTAAAGATAAATTTCGCATTTTCCATAAATCCAAGGTCCTTGAAAATTTCCGAAAAACTGGCTGCCAAATATCGTCAGGAGTAATGTTATTGCCAATTAAAACCCCACAAATCTTATGTTTTTCAACCCAACTAATGCCGAAAGGGTTATCTGAACGTGATTTCCATTTCCCAAGCCAAATACCCTTAGTTTTCTGTTTATTCAATTTAGCACCTGACGCTTTGCCATACAGATTACACCAATGAAATAATTTTGAAATAGAGGAATCGGAACAGCAAATACCAGTACTATCATCTGCATAGAGGGAAATTTTAGCTGACTGAGAGGAACCCGGAAGTTTTACACCAGTTATTTCAGGATCGTCACGGACTTTTTTCGCAAAGGGCTCCAAGACCAAAACATATAAAAGAGGAGATAAACTACAGCCTTGCCGTACACCACGAGTGATAGGAAAGGGGTCAGATATAAACCCGTTAACAATAACGGACGAACAGACATTTTTGTATAAGATACTTACCCATTTAGCAAAATCAGGACCGAAATTGTAAGCTTCAAGTACCTTAAATAAAAATGTATAATTTACTCTATCAAAAGCTTTCTCTTGGTCAAGAGATATAAAAGCACACTTCAAGTCTTTTTGATTAACGTAATCAACAATATTACGAAGAAGATGACAGTTTTCAAAAATAGATCTATCTTTTATCGCGCAAGTTTGGTCAACCCCAACAAGTTTATCAATAACCTTACTTAACCTGTTGGTAATAACCTTGGAAAGAATTTTATAATCAATATTCAGGAGAGAAATGGGCCTCCAGTTTTTCATACTATCAGAATTCCTTGGATCTTTACATAATAACGAAATAAAAGGTTTTGTCGGTATGGCGTGGCTCACCCTTGTGAAAAATGTCATTGTATAATGTGACGAGATAATCTCCTAATAAATCAAAAAAAGTAAGATAGAATTCTTTAGTGAGACCATCACTAGGGGACTTATTGTTCTTCATATGCTTGATAGCAGCTAATCCTCCCTATAGGGCCTTCAGCACGTTGACATTTCCAAGTTCGTAAGGTTATCAGCAAAAAATACAGCCAACTCAAATCGATATCTTCCTGAAAAAAGTTGGTATAAAAATCTCGAAAGGCCGCTAAAATGTCACTAAAAGTGAGAGGAGATCTGGGTAGATCGAATTTTCTCTATAAATTCTTGTTACCCTTATCACACTCCATTTTAAAAGAAATAACGTGAAGGCTTTTTTGGGAAAAACTAAACAATTAGCTCTCAGACCCCCTGAAACTATCAGTATGAAAATCAAGTAGTTGTCTCTTAATAGACTGAACTTGGGTCAATAAAGTGTCCAGGTAGTTTTTTTCTAAATTATACAACTTATTATATTTTTCTTGTAAAGATCTGACAACAGAACGTTTAACTTTAGCTTTACGTTTACAATATCCAATAATGAGATATTTGATAACAGATTTCACATTATCTCAATGATCTAAAGACACAGGCTTATTGTCAGTTAGATCAAGCCAGAAATCTTTAAAAGCAATCTGAAAGGCTCTATCGCTCAAAATACTATTATTAAGTTTCCAGTAAAGGGCTCAAACTTATCCTCAAAATAGTTTAATTTTTAGAAGAACAGATCTATGTCGGAACTACCAGACGGAAAAATTATATTCTCTAATAAATGCTCTTTCAATATACATGAAATATAAAATCGATCTAAGCGGCATGAAACACCATTACCATGCCAAGTAGTAGAAATGACATTCGGAAAAAGTGATCTAAATATCTCAAATAACTTAAAATCATTACACAGATTTTTTATTGAAACACTACCAGGAAGACCACGACTGGGATTACCAC